ATTTAGTTTGGGTTGCCAATTGTTGGGCAAACATTAGGATTGTTTGAGTTAGATTTTAAGTATATATCATTATTTAGTTTGGGTTGCCATTTGTTGGGCAAACATTATGATTGTTTAAGTTAGATTTTAAGTATATATCATTATTTAGTTTGGGTTGCCATTTGTTGGGCAAACATTAGGATTGTTTAAGTTAGATTTTAAGTATATATCGTTATTTAGTTTGGGTTGCCATTTGTTGGGCAAACGTTAGGATTGTTTAAGTTAGAAATTACTTGTATATATATATATATATATATATATCATTATTTAATTTGGGTTGCCATTTGTTGGGCAACCCATAGGATTATTTAAGTTAGAAATTACGTATATGTCATTATTTAGTTTAGGTTGTCTTTTATTGGGCAAACGTTAGGATTATTTTGGAAACGTCTCATTTACAGCCGTTATGCTGTCAAAATTGACTTGCAATCTTTTTAAACCATATATAGGATGAATATTCAACTGGTCTCAGCCAAAGATACGGCGATGATCCCTCCACTTATCCCTTAGTTGATAAAGAGTTATGGGAGCAAGCGGTTGGGGGTAGCAAGAAAGGCCGTTTATTTGGGTTTGGGTACAACCAAGATCCCAATTGGTCTTAACTGGGAACTACACAGAAGGTGGTTCATCTTCAGAGGGTCGGGTATATGTATCTTTTGCTTTGATGATGTTTATCGATTTAGTTTATAACTCAAATTAAATATTATAACATTTTATTTATTTTATAGAAAATTCAAACCTTAAAGACCCAACTTAGAGACTTACACGAACGACAGCGGGTGGAGGAGGAGCGACGTCGATTGGAGGATGAGCGACAGCGACAGGAGGAGCAACAGGATAAACAACTTCAAGATATGGCTGATTTGGTTAGACAGCTCAGTCAATCTCAACAATTCCCCCCGCCACCACCATATTAAATATTGTCTTTTTGTTTGAAACAATTTAGTTTTGTTTATAACAATTTAGTTTTTGTTTGGTTGGAATAATTGTAGTTTCACTTTAATGTATGATATTTAGTTCTATTTCGCTTTTTTAGTTTCATTTTTACTATTGTATAGATTTACAGGTTTTAATTATAGGTTTTAATTATAAGTTTTAAATATTAATTTTAAAATAAATTTAAATTATTAATATTTATATATTTTTTCCGGCGGATTTCTCCGCCGGTAATGTTTCTAATATGAAAATATTTTTTTAAAAATTAATATATATATATATATATATATATATATATATATTCTTTCCGACGGACATATCCGCCGGTAATTTTTTAAAATTAAAGATATGTTCTTTTAAAAATGATTAATATTTTTCCGCCGAGAAATGTTTCCGGTGGATTTCCGGCGGAATATTCCGCCGGTAAATTAAATTAATTTTTTTAAAAAGACTTAACCATTTTGTTAATTTAATCAAGATTTTATAAATAAACTGGCGACAAATTTCTGGCGGCCGTGATCCGCCGGAAAATGGTAAAATCCACCGATTTTTCCGCCGAAAAAAAAATTCCGGCGCCACTTTTTCCGGCGGCAATATCCGCCGGAAATCACTGTTTCCGGCGGATATTGCCGCCGGAAAAAGTGTCTTCTTTGGTAGTGTTTGAGACGCGCATAACAGTTGTTGGAGGCAACGTAGAAAACGTGATGAAATTGGATGGATATCTCAACAAGTAACTAACATGATGATGATGTATAAGGGTTTCAGATTTTGCTTTGATGGAAATATAAAAGCGCAAGGCTCATAATTTTACATAGTGGAAGAAGATTTGGCTAACCGAGTTCTAACGCTTTTGTGAATGTTGTTTACATTCTTTCAATTCTCTATGTGATCGATCATTTATCATATTTTGAATTTAATTATATATATATATATATATATATATATATGTGTGTGTGTGTGTGTGTGTGTGTGTGTGTGTGTATGTGTGTGTGTGTGTGTCTGTGTATGTGTGTTAAAAAGATTGATCTAAATTCTAGGAAATTTTGAAATATGAACAATTATCATGGTGTAGAGAGTAGAACAATATCTCGAATGAAGAAAACGTTATAAGTGTGAGTTGTTGCTCCCTTGGACTCTCCTTTTATGGTCATGCTTGATTAGCTGATGACAACTAAGATGAAAATGACATAAGTGTCGGGTCACCGATATTGGAGTAGCTCTTGTGTGATGAAGGCAACCAAATGAGATAGCGAGCTAGAGAGAGAAGGGGGAAATGATAAAGAGAGAGGTTAGATCATGGTGGAAGAAAACTCGGGAAATATATTCAATTTTGGTCCCCAACTTAGCAAGGAATACTGTGTATTACCTAATTAAAATGCTTTTTAATATCGATCATATATTGTCCTATACCAAGATATCTCAACCTACAAAACTTGAAAATAAAATCCTTAATCAAGCCCATTTGGCCAAAAGAGACATGCAACCTAATCCTAAGAGAAGAGCTATGCATGCCATCATCTGAAGCTTTGGACTTGTTTGCACTTTCGATTTCATGAAATCTGCGGCAAGGAGGTCGACAAGTGCCATATAGATGAGTATCCCGGCAGAAGCTGCATTGAGTACACCTTGGACGATGAGAGCAGTTTGACCATTTTCGTCATATGTGTTCGAAATCCCAAACCCGATAGCGATCCCTATCGGAGTTGTAAGGGAAAAAAATATGGACATTGTTGCTATGGTCCTAATATTGAATTTTGCCTGCATAGTACAATGTATCTTTACATTAGACTTGGCTTATCAAATCAAATCAGACTAAACGAAGCGAATACAATCTATTCCATGCAAATGTAGGGTCTATGATTGAAATTAGTAACAATAAATTAAAAGGTTGATTCTAAATAAACCCCTTCTACTTACTATATCAACGGTCAACCTATCGCTACTAATTTTCATTTCACATACATAAAATCAAATATTTCTATTTTGAAGCTTCAACTTGATTTAAAAAAAAAAGAGTTCAAATTAATTAATAACAAATGAGTTAAAATTTACCTCAGTGATGCAAGTTCCAAGGCCCATGCCTTCAAACAGTTGGTGAAAACTCAAAGCAATAATTAGGGGTTTGATTGTTTTGGGACTGACTGAAACACCCAATGATACTCCAATTATGACTGAATGTATTAAGATCCCCACCTCCAACACCTGCAACAAAATTGATTCTTCTCATTTTCATATTTAAAACTTCAAATATTCGATTTCTTTTAACAGTTTGGTGTCATCTTATCATCGATAAATATACTATAAAATTAGTTTCTAAAACTAACATCTAACTTTATGGTGCTTTTTAATTACCAAACGCTTATCGGATGAAGTATTTACCGGCAAAAGTTACCATCCCAAGTTATCTTATTGGGTAACATTTAGGTTCATCAAAATTGATTGTTGGTAAAATGTTGTTTTTATCCGGTAAACACTTATCGAGTAAGAGTTTTTTCACTTACTTATTGGGTAAGATTTTTTGTTCTTGTAATATATGTCATTTACTTTGTAAAACATAAGGTAAATGACATCAGGTTAGCGCTTACCCAGAAAACATTCGGGAAACGATACTAAATTCACTCTTTTTTCAATAGAAATTGAAATAAGGTAAGAGATGCATATTGAGAAAATCTCTTTATAGTTGAGGTCAGAATTCAGAAACAGACTCCACTTTTTTGGTTTAGTTTGGTTTATTAGTTTACCATATAAGTAATTCATTGAATAAACTCTTAAGATGGAAAATAGGTGGTAAAAGGATAGCTATAATTATTTTGGAAAGTGATAAATATTTAAGAAGCGGAGAAGTGATCCTGATTTTTTATACCGTCAAGATCGGATTTGACTTGTTAAAATTTGCGGCTATGTGAAAATAAAGATGATAGTTTCGTAACTTTTACAAATAGGTGGTAAACAAGTTCATATATGAACCTGTGTGATTCAATTATGAATTAATTAACTGGTTCACATATGAATCCTTGTAATTTACATATAAACTAATTAACTGTTTTACATGATTCACATCTTAAATAATTGAGGTTCATATGTGAATTAGTTTAATAGGTCACATGTGAATTAATTAACATGTCCACATATATATGTGAATCACATGTGTTCATATGTGAACCTGTTTATCATTTATTTATAAAAGTTACGAATTTCTGAAATACTTGCCACCTCTCAAATTTACCTCCCCCCCTCTCTCTCTCTCTCTCTCTCTCTCTCTCTCTGTATATTTGGTGCCAAGCATTGGGTGGTTGTACTGTACCACGGATCAATGAATTAATTGACCAACAAAATCAAAAATTAATTCTTAGAAGTGGTACCTGCGAAAGAATCCGGTGACGGAGGAGACCCTCCGGCGAACCATCAGAAGCGGCATGTGCATGGCCATTGGATGCATGGGTATGAACATGCACATGATTCTGATGTTTCTCTTCATCTCCGCCGCCGTGCTCCGCCAAATTGTTATTATAATGCCATCGATTAAACAAACTCATCACCGCCGTTTCCACCATCATGACCACCACCGCCGACACCATAGCGATGAAATTTGCCAACGGAAAATCTCCCCAAGACTTCTCTCCCAGACAAGGGTTTTCCAAGCTCTCGTTTGCATCGGGAAACACATGGACAAAACCGGTGGCTAAAATAACGCCGGCGGCGAAGAATTTGATGGTCAAGAAACCGTTGCTTTCTGGGCGTAATGAATCAAACATCTTACCCAGCAATGGAACACAAACGCCGACGGCTCCGGCGACCAGAATGGAAACGACGGCAATCAATTTGAATTTTAGAGCTTGGGACTTGTTAACATCGCCATCGTTGTTGGAATCATCGCAAGTACAGTCTGCAGATATGGAGATTGGGAGGAGGAGGAGGAGAAGAAGAAAAACCCACAAAAAATTCATGCTTTTTTTTTAATTCCGAGAGGAATGGGAGAAATGGCGGATGAAGGGTTGGTTAAAACGAAGGGTAAAATGGGAAAGATGTTGGAGGAATGTCGACATCATGGGTTGTAAAATTTTGCTCAAAATTGAATATGGAAATAAATTACTTCATTTCTTTTTCAACATTCCTCCCAATTTAATTTAGATGTTATAATTATGTGTAATATTTTTTTAAATCTATAAAAAAAATTAATAGCTCTTTTATTTTAACCATTTTATTTGTTAATTATATCAATAAAATATTGAATATATTGAATGTTGTTTTTTATTAAATATTATTCTTAAATATTTTTTATTTGTAGGAAGATACTACTAGTTTCTTTTGTAAAGGGATTTAGTCGCGTTTGGTTTGCAGATTTTAAAGAAATCTGATGGAATTAGAATAGGGAATTCCATTGACCAAATTTTATTTTGTTGTTTGGTTCATTCTTTTTCACGAAAAGAATCTTTAAAATCATACAAATTCCACAAATAAAATAATTTAATTTTTTTTAGCAACTATATGGTATTTTAATTGAATGAAATTCTCTATTTTCATAATACCAAATATGCCCTTAACCCAATATACTCTAATCTCATAAAACCCAATATACTCTAATCTCATAAAACCCAATATGACCATCGTCAACCACCTTCGACCACCGTCGATCTGAATCGTCGCCGACCACCGCCATTTGAACCACCACCGACCATCGCCATTTAAACCACCGCCGATTACTATCGATCTGAACCACCGCCAGCCACTACAAATCTGAACCACCACCGTCGATCTGAATCTCCACCGATATGATCCGCCGTGGATCTGTACCATCGTTGATCTGAACCACTACCGACCACCGACGACTACCATCGATCTGAATCACCGTCGGACACCGCAGACCACCAACGATTTGAACAACCACCGATCTGAACCACCGATCTGAACCACTGCTAACCACTTCCATTTGAACCACCACAGACCATCGATCTGAACCACTTCCGACCACTGCCATATGAACCACTACGGACCATCACTGATCTGAACCACCATTGGACCACCAGCGATCTGAACAACCGTCAATGACCGTTGATTTAGTAATGTCGTTTGGCTTATGGTTATATTTGGGTTATGTATTTTATATTGTTTTGCATATTAAATAATTATTTTATTAAATTATTTTTAGTTTTAAAAAAGTTAAAGTTTTCAAAAAAGGGCATTTTGGTCATTTATCAATATTTCATTCCAGTTCCAAGTTACATTTTGTGAATCAAACATACATATTTCAATTCCTTAATATATTTCATTCCAATGTCTGTCAACCAAATAGATGGTCAAACCTGACAACATTCCATTCAAATTCCTTTAAAGTCAAATTCATTTATCAGATTCTATTTTATCCAAAAATATTCTGTGAACCAAACACTACCTTAAAGTTTTCTCAAAATTTTAGAAAATTTCATTTATTTATGTTCTTTTTATATTTTACAATATAATATAGTAAAACTTTTGGAGCATAAGACTCTCATTTCATTATGATCTTTAGTTATATTAACATTATAAATATAATAATAACTTTATTTTAGGTTTGGAATGTCGTTGTCCTTTAGAAAGATCAATATATATTTTCTTGAAAGATCATGTGCAATCATCGAAAGGAAATGGTTGAAATAATTTTTCCTAAGTATCTAGTATTTATCGTAATGAATCTTTCATTTTCATTGTAAATTCATCTTTATTTTAAGGGCTTATGATAAATGAGAATTACATATCCATTATCTCTATTTACTGTTGTGTTATTATGTTTTTCCTATAATACATTATCAACATGTATGTTTGTTGATCTCAACCATCACATTTGTACAACAATACAGCTAGCATCCGATTCAATACTTAGAAGAAAAATTCCTGATATTTTCCTTCTGATGTTCATATAAAATATACAACATTTATTGGATCTGTCACAATGTGTAATTAACATCTGAACCATGCATAACAAAGAAAATTATTGGTTCAAAGTTCAGAATTTAATCACCATCGGATCTATATCTTAAATAAAATGTGAGATTAAAACTTAGATTTGATTATTCTCCATCTGAATGGAAGAATCCGATTGATCTAATTAACATTATCACTCAGTCTTGATTCTCAAAAATCTACAATTTATTCTAAGTTATTTTAGCATCCGATGTTCCTACTTCATAATTCATCCATAGCTGGAATCCAATCTATAACTTATACTTTAAAATTGAAAAGATGTTATTTTCTTTGTAAATGTGGTGTAACTATCTGTATTGATCCAAAAACAAAAAACCTTCAACAAAATCGAAGACTAGTTGAAGTAAAATCAAGATCATCACCAAAGTGGATTGGTTTGCCATCTAGCCTAAAGAAGATCAATACAAGATAAAATCAAATAATAGTCAGACAAATGCTATTAGAAAACCTAATTTTGGAGCGTAAACTTGTCCAACAACTTTGGCTCGCCAACTCTACCAACACTTATCCTCGTATGAGAACATGCTTAGCACGTCAGACAAAGTAAGTTTTTAAATACTATTTTAATAGTACCATATTTCATTTACTGTTCCCTTTGCATACAAAATGATGGGTTGGGATAACAAGTGTGTACATCAACTTCAAAGGTTGAAATAAATAGTACAAGCATTCATGGATCAACAAATCAGATAAAGACACAAGTTAAAGTTGGAAAACAATATTAATGCAATGGTGTCTATCAAAGACCATCCTTGTAATATGTTGTAACTCATCGGTTTGAAAGAATTTCTGAGTGATAGTTTCTTAGGCAAAATCGGTGTCACTTACCGAAGAACTATCTAAGTACTTCAGATCTAAAAAAATATCTTCTTTTCTCACTCTTTCAGTTGTTGTCAAATTTATCACCAGTTAATTGTTTAAGATCAGGTTTTACCTTCCTAGTTTTCGCAACAGACCAATACACTACAAGAAAAATGACCTTCAGAGAAGCTTTTGTTTTGTACTTAAAAATCTTAAAAGCTTCTCTAAAGCCTTTAGATAAGCTTTTCAATTTTGTCAAAGATCTTCTTTGTGTGACGGTAGGTGAAGGTTTTAGAGAAGGTTTTCGAAGGGTGTGTTTTTGTTAGCCTTTAGAGACGCTTAATTGAGRCTTTAGATACACTTTTAAAACTTCTCTAAAGGTTAGTCAACTTTTTATTCAAAGCTTCTCTAAAAGTATATATATTAGTGACACTTTTCAAGTATTTGTGACGATTTGTAAGAGTTACTAAAAGATACTTTTAGAGAAGATAATGGAAAAACTTCTCTAAAAGTATATATATTAGTGACACTTTTCAAGTATTTGTGATGGTTTGTAAGAGTCACTAAAAGATACTTTTAGAGAAGATAATGAAAAAGCTTCTCTAAAAGTATATATATTAGTGACACTTTTCAAATATTTGTGACGGTTTGTAATAGTTACTAAAAGATACTTTTAGAGAAGATAATGGAAAAGCTTCTCTAAAAGTATATATATATATTAGTGACACTTTTAAGAAAACTTCTCTAAAAGTTCTAATTAGTTAAGGTTACGAAATCTTTTCTAAATATGATATTTAGATACACAAAACTCAAAATCTTCTCTAAAAGTTATTTTTAGTTACACTTTTAAAAAGTTAATTCCTTCTCTAAAAAATATATTATAATATATATTATAATATAATAATAATAATAATAATAATAATAATAATAATAATAATAATAATAATAATAATAATAATAATAATAATAATAATAAAATTAAACTAATAAATAATATTAAATTAATCGGAACAAATTAATAATAAACCTCAAAACAATTTTTTATAGAATTGTTATATAATTTCTTATTATAAGAACCATCCAAATTTAATATTCAACTAGCTTATATATCGTCGAAATTTATCAACAAAAAACATCCAAAATCATCATAGCATGTTTAGCGATCTTGAGTCTCCGAACGTTGGTCTTGAACTAAAATGAAGATGAACTTGGAACTGACCGGCCGGATATAATTGACCTAACCATTTGTCGCAACTCCGCGACTTCATCCTTCATGAGAAAGAGCTCGGATTTGGTTGAAGCAAGCTCGGACTCGGTTGAAGCAAGTCTATTAGACATCTCGCTGTGGCTCAATCGACCTGACGCACCGGTGCTCTGTCGCGAACTTGTAGATAATCTCTAGATCACCCGGGGGATTTTCTGTTGATTCACTTTGCCGCTTAATCTCTACCATGTTCTCCTATGAACATAAAAATAATATATATAAATCTTAGTAATTTATAAAACGATGAAGACATGCAAAAGAGTTCGTTAAACGTAACTTACATATGAAGTGCGAGAATAGTTATTAACCCAACCATATTTTTCTCTATAATGCAACTTTCGGAAAGTCTCTATGTCACCGATAAGAGGATTGTCGGACAATCCTCTATTTCGAAAATGGTGATTTGGAGTGCTCACTGTACCGTTTAAAGCAACATTCCATTCTAAGTGTTTACAGTAAACCTTGCAAGGTATGCATTTATGGTTAAAGTGCAACATTTTTACATATTCATTTGGTAATGTAATGTGACTTGGTAAGCACTTACTCAGGTAAACGTTTGGTAAACGACCCTTAAAATGTAATTTCGGTTATGGATACCCCTTCCAGTATATGACAGGAAGACATTGCTTAATTTGTTAGTGGGCATTTTGACTTCCAAAAGCCAAAAGAGATAATTCAAGATTGTGTAGTGTCCATGTGACATTCTCCAACAGCAAATTAATTGGGAACAAACACAAGATGAAACACATATTACAAATGGTCTAACTGAACCTGTGTATTTTTGTTGTTATCACTATAACCATTAATTGTCTTTCTGTTGGGTTTCATATGTTGTTATTTATGCATGGTACACGCAGGTGTTGTTTGGGCTTGAGGATCAACTCATATCTTGTTCTTTTATCCTTGTGAGAAATCATGGAT